TTAGGAAAAACTCCTCCAAAGTTATTATCTTTAATTTGAAGCCATTCTAAATTGGTTGCATTAGTCAAGGAAGAAATAAAGTTCAAATCTTCGGGTTGGTTATTCCCAAGGGAGTTTGTGTAAAGGTTAAGGTAATTAAGCCATGATAACTTATGCAAAGAAGGAACTTGTCCTCGAAGATTGTTTTTCGATAAGCTCAAAACTTCTAGATCCGATGCATTAGATATTGAAGTTGGAATATGTCCAGTGAATCGATTATTGGATATGGAGAACCACCGTAGATAGGGAAGAGAGTTACCCATATATGAAGGAAGGTTTCCTACAAAGTCATTCTGCGCTAAACTTAATTTGGTTAATGAAGATAGGTTGAAGATCGAGGGAGGGATTTCTCCAAAAAAATTATTGTTGTCTAAAATCAAAACTTCTAGATATCTTAATTTACCTAGTTGATTAGGGATTTTTCCTGCCAAAGTGTTGCCACCCATGTGGAACTCGACGAGGTATGATAAGTTCCCCAAGAATGAAGGGATCACACCTATCAAGTTATTCCTTGCCAAATTAAGGTATTGCAATTGTGACAAGTAACCAAGCTCAGGAGGGGTTGCACCCACCAACCTATTATTGTCGAGACTTATATCAATAAGTCTATAACAACTTGATATATTTGATGGAATTTCCCCTCCAATGGAATTGTTAAATAGCCAAAGAATTTGCAAACGATACAAACGATTAATTTCTTGGGGTATAGTTCCTCCAAAACTATTATCTTGAAGGTATAACTCCCTAAGGAAGCTCAAATTGCCAACATGTGGAGAAAGGATACCTGTGAGTTTCGAGTTACTTAGGTCGAGTGTTGTCACTCTTCGATGCCTACGACCACAAGTAACCCCATGCCACTTACAAAAGTGGAGGGAGGCATTCCATGAGCTCAGCACACCTAGAGGATCATCACTTATCTTGGCTTTGATTTCAAGCAATGCTTGCTTTTCCGTGTTGTCGTTCCCGGCGATTACCAAGAACTGATGGCAGCAAAACATAGTCGTAACCAAAATGAGCTGCAAAAACAAAGAAGATGCACATGACATATTTAATTTTATGGATCCAAAAGGGTCATATACAATGGTGTTACCATGTTTACAAAGGAGATCACTTTTTATTCAGATGCATAAGTGAAAGTTGACAAAAGTAATCATTGATGTATAAAAAAATGACTGTCACATGCTACATTGTTGCACATCAATGAAGAAATTATGGAGGGTAACTCTGAATATAACAAATTAATTATTTGGTTTATAGTCTAAAATAGTACCCTCTCATGTTTTCATGCGTACAATAAGGGAGTCACTTAGGTTTTTTATTATGATGCTGACATTCAAGTGTTTTGACTTTCTAATTGATGAACATGGACTAGATGAGAAGGTAACATACTAACATGAACCATTATCTAAGTCAACCTTCATTTAATCACTCTTTTCAAGGGATACTAAATGATACTTCATCGCATTAGATCTTATTAGAGCACGTGGACCATACATATGAAGCTAGTGGTCAAGACAAAACGGTCAACCGAGTCAGATTGGGTTGGGGTTTCAGATCTTATGGTTTTAGGTTCGGCTAATAATATCTTTGCCTCACTTTAACCAGTATAATTGTAAATGTGAAACTTTTACTAATAATATCTTGAATTATCAATAACTATAAATTATATAGGTACAAATTATATTATCTTACATATAATTTTATTATTTAACTTGGTGGTGAGATGATTTTCTAAAATCTAATGTAGTTAAGTGGGTTTTGGGGAACATTATATTTAATCTAGATAATGGGTTGGGAGAAAAGCAAAAAAAAGCAAAAAGAAAAAAAAAAAAAAAAAAAAAAAAAGGTTACTTATTGAAAACTATATTTTTCTAACAAGTACACACATAATAAATAAAACTATATTTTTCTAACAAGCACACACATAATTATATTTGGGTAATCTTGTATATGGCTAGCCACACGGTGTGGCCACATTGCTTTATACTACGTAAGAGTAATCTTCATTTATATGTATGAGTAACCTCATTTAATCATAAGAGTAATCCCATTTTGTCCAAAAAAGTAATACAAATTCATTATACGAGTAAAATCAAGTAATTTAAAAAATATCCATTAAAAAAAAAAAGTAATTTAGAAATCAGTAACCCCATTTGTTCATTCAAGTAACCCCCTATTCTTTTGTTTTAAAAAATGAAAGAATTATTCCACTTATTTAAGAAACTAACTCCTTTTTCTCATTTAAGTAACCTACATATGTTAAGGTAGCCCTATTTGTTCATCACCGTGACCTCTATTCTTAATTAATTATCTTATGTGTGATTATGTGAAGTGGCCACACCATGTGGCTAACCACATATAAGAATTTTTAGGGAAACACACATAATTATATTTAATGTTATGTATAATTGACATTATTTTATTTTTTATTTTTATTTTTTTTATAGAGAGAGCCATATAAGGTGGTGATGTAGACGAAATTTAAAATTCATTTTCAAATTTTGGGTATACCCTCAAGACTTTAGCCAACTAAGCTAGTGGTGTAACACAACATTGGTATACCACAAAGCGTGTGGTGTAGGTAAATGACGAAGGAGGACAATGCGGAGCAGTTTTTAAACAAACACGTCTTTACTCTTTTCAAACTTTAGCAAATATTGTGTAGTCCGTACTCACTCGATTTCTTTTTTACGGAGGATTTTTTACCCTTTAACTTTTATGGTCAACTTTTTGAAGATTTGACCTTAAAATTCACTACTCCATATTAAAAACATCAAAATAAAAACCAATTAGAGGATCTAGGCTCCCCCTTGGTTTGAACCTCATCCCCCCGTGTGACAGGAGGGGGCTTCCCGTGCACCTTATCTGTAAAAAAAAAAAAAAAAACAAAAAAAAAAAACAACATAAAAACCAATCTAAGAATGTGAGGATAAAGGTGAGATTATTTTGTAAGCAGAGGTGATAAAAGTGACTTTTTCATTTTTATTTTGATGCGTAAAGAATAAAAACGAACGAAGGGTTAAATTGGGCAAGAAAAATCTAGCAATAGTACCCAAAGATTTCACACAAATTACTGGAACTCTCCCGCCGGCAACGGAAAGCATATAGCGGCTGCCGGCGATATATTCGCTGCTCGGAAGAAGCCGTATGTTGCCAGTATTGCAGGCGTGAGAAGAGAGAGACAGACTTTCTGGAGAGTTCGTTCTCCATTTATTAAATTAGGAATTACTCCGTACTCAATAGCACGCTCATAAATTTGACCAAAGTTTATCTCAAGGTATAATTTTTTGTATTACTGGTAGTTGTTTTTTGTCTTAGGGAAATTGATCCTTTTTTTTTTTTTTTTGGTCTTTTGGTTTTGTATTTAATGTGTAATTTACATGTATGTTCTGGAAGATGAAAATCAGAAAATAAATCATAATTTGATTGTTTTGTAATGAAATTGAGGCTGAATAATTTTTCAAGTAGTTTAATTGAGTATTTTTTTTTTTTTTTTTAAATTTTTTGCGCAATTGGAATTTGAGGCCTTTGAATCTTAATAAACTCTATGAAGATAAGATAGTGGAGTTGAAAATTTTATCAAATAAGATGAATTCAAACTTTTCCAACCTGAAATGCTTTTGGCATTATCAAATTCAGAAACAGTGAAAATCTAGAAAATTAAATTCTTAAGCGCAAAGATTCTGATATTCTGAACAGGTGTTAATGATAAAGTTGTACTAGCTATCAATAATGTAAACGAATTTGGCCAATTTTGTTCATGATCAATTCTATTTTGGCTGTTATATACTTATATCGTGCACAATATGGAGGTATATATAATATATGGTTGCTTTTGCCTTTGAAGTTAACTTCCAACTATTTGTCATGAAGTAGGGCAGGATAATAGTTACTGAAGTAACATGACTTCATTTGTTAGCTGGAAATTGGAACTTTTGGTTGTTGTGAGCTCGAAATAACTCGGTTTTGAGTTAATGCTGCTGAATTACTGCATTCTTTTGGAGTTGGAACTGATCATCTAAATTTCTAAGATAACGGACTGCTAAACAAAGGTTCGTTTTCTTATCTATACTTCTCAGAAGTTCTGTTTACTATGCTTTTTTGTTTTGTTTCTGCTTCTTGGTTTAGCTGCAAACAGCCAAACATTACTGAAATTTATGCAAGTTGATTTCATGTTTAGTTGTTCGAATGATGGCGAGCTCTAGCCTTTTTTTCTTTTCAGAGTACTGATTACAGAACATCCTATCATAGGCAGCAGAGTAATGTGCATGTAATACATTGAAGGGCCTTTGAAATGAATATTGAAAGAATGACATGCGGTTTTGGTTCAATAATCATCTTTAAATTGTTGGTACTTTAGCTTTTAGAGAGAAATATTAGCTTTCGTGTCGTTTAGTTTGGAGTTGGAGGGCAGAGTGGCCTGGGTTTATTAGCTTTCCTCTCACAGATTTTTTTTTTTGATACTTTGATTTCATATGAAATTTATGAATGGAAATATTGCTGCTTGGCTTCCATTTTCTTAATGCTAGTATGTTAACATTAGTCGCCTGTGCCTTTAAAGATGAAATTTCATTCAGATAAGCTATAATTTGCTCATCTTAGAAACACAGAAACCAGAACAAAAAACTTGAAAATTGATCAATCAAGATGTATCTGCTATTCTGATCTTAGGTCAGAACTAATGAACAAATTTTTTTATTTTTTAAAAATATTCTTAAACGAAAAAAAAAAAAAAAAAAAAGGAGAAGCTTTTTCAGAGAAGTCACAGAAGGCAGAACCATATTATCTCATTCTAATGTCCACCACATCACAAGTTTGGTCACGGACTGATAAAATAAGTTTGGGGGAACTTGATCACCCTCTTGTTCCTGCACCCAGAAGAAAAGCAAATGAAGTCTAATTCTGAATTTAAAACTAGTCATTACATAAATAATCCTGTGGTTTTTTTAATCTTTTTATTATCATAGGGTAGCTGGAACATTATCTGCACGAATTCTCCTTCTTTGTTGCAATCTAGTTCCAAGAAGCTTGTTTCTGATTGATGTTAGCTTTGCAGTGACATCACTCATATCCAGCCTTTCTCGTGGGACCTCAGTTGAGCAAGACAATGCGATTTCAAGTACAGAAATTAGTGCCTCCAACATCAAGCTGCTATCTGTCTTCTCAGAGTCTATGTCTTCAACAAGGGAGTGATCTAGAATCTCGATCACACGTTCAGGTACAGCTTCTTTCACATAGTGATGAAGGCTTATTACTTCACTGAATATATCATTAGTAGGCCTTTTTCCTGTGAACATCTCCAGTAGAAGAATTCCGAAACTATAAACATCACCATTGCTAGACGCTTCATTTCCCAAACCATATTCTCAAAAATTATTCACACCTAAAGTGTTATTGTCAAAAATGATGGGGAGGAAAATTTGGAGAAAAATACTAGTGGAATCTAGCAAATTACATGTACTGAAATATATACTACCTCTGTATATTATTAGTTGCAACTTTGGGGCATTATTTGTGAGATATAAAATATTCCAAAGTTGCAACTAATAATATACAGAGGTAGTATATAGATTAAAGGAATGAGATATTAATTAGACGATATTTTTTTACCTGGTGGAGCGTAACCAACAGTTCCCCTGACTCCGAGAGAGCTGCACTGATTTGCGTTAGAGTTACTGATGCTCTTTGAGAGAAATTTAGCCAACCCAAAGTCACCAACATGGGCAACCAATTCTTCATCTAGTAGGACATTGCTTGGCTTGAGATCACAATGAATTATGGGTGCACCACAATTATGATGAAGATACTCCAACGCACTAGCAACATCAACTACAATATCAAGTCTTTGTCGTAGACTTAACCTAGGTGCAGTATCTGTGTCCTCAACCACATCAATTGCCACTGGATGCAACCACTCTTCTAAGCTTCCTCTAACCATGTACTCATAAACCAAAGCCTTGAAGTCATTCCCTTGATAGTCAACACTTGAGCAAGCAGTAATGACCTTGATCAAATTCCGATGTCTTATAGTCCGGAGGACTCCACATTCAGCCATAAAACTCTTCGAAGCACCATGCTGCTCTAGGTTGAAAATCTTGATTGCAATAATGGATGTTTCCACAAGGTCATGAAGGATTCCCTTGTATACAGCCCCAAATGTGCCTCTCCCAATCAAATTGTCAAAAGAAAACCCATTTGTGGCTTTTAAAAGGGTTTGATAAGACAAATTTGGATAGTTCTCTGAAAAATTACCCAAGGGTGTGGGTAATTTAGTCTTCTTTTTATACCAATAGATATAAAGTGACACAAATATTGTCACCATCGATATAATTCCAAGAAGTCCGAAAACTATTCCAAGTATGAATCTGTTTTTGTGACCTAGGCTTTTTTTCTGGTTCTTTTTGTTGCATTTAGGAAGCTTCAACTCTGGCTTACCTCCACACAATCCCCTAATTCCATTTAGTGAAAGACCAGTTGCATTACTGAAAATTCCACCAGTGGGTACTTCACCTTCAAGGTTGCTATTGTATGATAGATTGAGCACTTACAATGGAAGGCTCTCCAAAAATTGTGGAATTTTACCTGATAAATTGTTCTTAGACAAATCCAACACATTGAGACCTTTCAATTCGCTCAATGCACCAGGAATGGCGCCTTGAAGAAAATTTCCATTCAAGTACAGATTCGTCAACTCTACACAACTACTGAGTGTGCTTGGTATTTCACCGGACAACATGTTTCCAGAAACGCCAAGCCAACCTAGATTCTTGAGTTGCCCTACTTCTTCAGGAAGGGACCCATTAAACTTGTTCATTGATAGGTCGAGATGAACAGACGTAGTGATTTCAAAAACTTGTGTGGGTATTTTGCCACTGAGGCGGTTGGAAGCCAGATTCAAGGACAGTAGACTATTACAATTTCCTAGACCTGAAGGTATTTGGCCAACAAGATTATTATTTTGTAGAGTAAGAACAGTCATCATTGTTAAGTTCCCAATTGAGAAAGGTATTTTACCTAACAACTGGTTAGCATGTAACATTAGTCTGCCGAGATTATGGAGCTTTCCTATGCCTCGAGGAATGACACCAGAAAGTTTATTACTGAAAGCATTAAATTTTGTCAAGTGTTCAAGGTTTTCAATGCAAGTTGGAATCTGTCCACCTATATAATTATCATAAATTTCTAAATTGGAAAGCATTGAGAAATTACAGAAGATCTTAGGGAAATTTCCTGATAAAATATTACCACCTATATCCAAGTATTGTAACTCAGTTGCATTGGCCAACGAATAAGCAAAGTGTTAATCACTAGGTTGGCCATACCCCAGTGAATTATTGGCAAGGGTAAGGCGTAAGAGATTTGCTAATCTGTGGAGAGAAGGAACTTGTCCAGTAAGATTGTTAGAACTAAACTGAAGAACACTTAGACCCGAGGAATTGATTATAGAAGTAGGAATAGATCCGGTGAAATTATTATTGAAAATGGAGAACCACTGCAGATTTGGAAGTTTGATTCCCAAATCTGAAGGAAGGTTTCCCTCCAAGTTATTCACTCCTACATCAAAAGCCTCTAAGAGTGTGAGGTTGAAGATTGGAGATGGGGCTATCCCTGATAACATGTTCCCTCCAAGTGAGAGCAATGTTAATTTATTCAATTTGCCTAAGCTCTTTGGGATGCTTCCACTTAAGTAGTTGTAGTACAGGTAGATTTTGGAGAGGGATGATAAGTTCTCGAAAGATAAAGGGATGGTGCCTGTCAAGTAGTTCTTTTCAAGTCTAAGAAGTTGTAGATGTACAAGGTAACTAAATTCAGATGGGATCTTTCCTACCAACCTGTCAGAGCCGATATTGAGTTCCGTGAGCCTTGAGCAAGCTGATATATTTGGTGGAATGTGGCCTTCAATGGCATTTTTACCGAGCAAGAGATACCGCAGTCGATTCAAACGGCCTATTTCTGGAGGAATTGTACCACCCAAAGTATTATTGTACAGGAACAACACCTTCAAGAAGCTCAAATTTCCAATAGATGGAGAAAGGAAACCTGTGAACTTCGAAGAGTATAGTTCCAGCTTCTTTACTCTCCCACCTCGATGACATGTAATACCATGCCATTCACAGAAGTGGACTGTGTCATTCCACGATCTCATAACCCCGAGAGGGTCACCTGTAATTTTGGCTTTGAAATCGAGCAATGATAACCGGTCTGTCTCATTACTCCCAGCAATGGAGAAGTGAAAGGAGTGGAAGAGAGCAGAGGCACAGATGATTAGGAAAAATGAGATGCTTGACATGCTTAATCTTTGGGAGATAATTAAGGGACTTAACTATTCCGGTGCACCAACAGTACAGTTGAAAAGATATGAATAATGGTTATGTTAAAATCAAAATAAAGTCTCTAACCAAATTTATAGAAATACGTTGGTGATGAGACTTCGGAGACAAAACAAGATTAGTGAATGATGAACACAATTGCTAAGAGAGCGAGCTATCACAATCAGCTGTCACACATCCACTATCCCTTGCTACAAGTTATGAAATTTCTCTCCACTCCTCCAGTTTCTACGGTCCAATATTGGACTTAATCATCGTTTGACCTTTCAATGGAGTTTTGTAAAGTATAAAGTATATGCAAGAAAATGTGCTATGGCATTAGTCATTAGTCCTGGCTCCTGAAAATTTAGGCATGGACTATTATGTATTTATATTCTTCTACGCAATTTATTGACTACATCTTATGATCACTTAATATTAATTTTAATTTGCAATTATCTCTTTAATTTCCAGGATAGTTGTTAGTTTTTCTGCAATTTTATACTCCATCTGCTCTGTATGGAATTTTCCATTTTAATTTCCATTTTGGTGTCCCAAAATTATATTTTTTTAATAATTAATTTATTTACAGTGATAAAATTTCATCATTTGGTCCTTCTCAAAATCGTGTTCACATTGAATATAATATCCATGGAAAAGTGAATGTAAGACTAGTTAATACCCGAGCCATTCTCAAATTTTATAATGAATACAATACATGTTAAAAATTCTGGAATTTAGTTAACAAAAAATGGTTAATTATTGCTATATTTGTAATTATTTTAGGAATTACTCTGTATTCATTTGAAGTTCTTGCTGAAATTTTGTTTCAAGTTTTTTTTTTTTTTTGTGTGTGTGTGTGTGTGTGTGTGTGTGTGAGAGAGAGAGAGAGAGAGAGAGAGACTGTGTGTGTGTGTGTATTGGTCCGTGATTGTTCAATTAGTAGGAAAAATCATCATATTTAATTTTTTTGTGGGACTGGAATAGGTTGTTGATGATCTATTGCTCTTGTATTTATTTATGTTTAATTACAATTAAATTCTGGAAAATGGAAATGAATCAAATTATATATAAATCTCATAGGATGTCTAGATATTGTATATTAATATGGGCGAATTAAATCTTGCTCAGTTATTTGTGATCGATTATACTTTGGCAGGCAGCTATGTAGTGCACATAATAAGCGGCCTGAGTATTAAATGAAGGTATTATCATCAGGATAAAAGTTGTTGCAGTAACATGGACTTCACTCGTTAGCTGGAAATCGGAACTTTTGGTTGTATCGAGCATGAAATGGACTGCTAAATAAGGTTAATTTTCCTAACTATACTACATAAAAGGACTGTTTATTATGCTATATTTCATGTTCTGTTTCTGCTCACTGGTTGCAAATACTATGGAAAAATAATGCAATTGTCAAATATGACCATCAAAGAAGTTAATAAGCGTAGAAGTATGAAGTTAATCATTAGTGTCAAATAAAAACAATACATCATATGAAGTAGAAACATCATTAAGATCATTAGTGAAAGAAAAAAAAAATTAGCATTTGTAGCCCAATTGACACGCTGCTAGAGGTCATGAACTTGTGACCAATAACTCCTACATAGTCCGCGACGACTTGGAAAGTTTGTACATCGAGGTTTCTTCCATGGAATTTTTCTCAAACTTTTCAAAAGTTAATCATTTATAATCATTAATAGTAATCCAACATGACTCGGTTGGTTTGGTGAATATGCTTAATTAGCTACATACATTTTGTACGAGTATTGAAAGATATGCCAGTGAATAATGTATCTGATCACACAGTATATAGATAAGGAACTAAAATTGTTTATTGTGATACAAACAAAAAGCTTAAAGGAGAAAAACCATCAAATGATTCAAAGACTGTAATCTGAAGTAGATAGTTGCTCTACTGTTCAGATCTTAAGTCAGAACACTGTAAGGGGAAAAGAAAAAAATAAGAAACAAGAGCAAGATTCTTTTTAAGAGAAGTCACAGATACATAGAAAGCTTGGTCATGAGCTGGTAATATTAGAGAGATCTTGATCACCATCGTGTTCCTGCAACCAGAAGAAAAACTAATGAAGTCTAACTGATATTAAAAACTGTCATTACAGAAATAATTCTGCAGTTGCTCTTTTTATCATCATTATGGTAGTTAATACATTACCTGCACGAATTCTCCTTTGATCTAATCTAGTTCCAAGAAGCTTTTTTCTGATTGATGATAATTTTGCAGTGACATCACTCATATCCAACCTTTCTTGTGGGACCTCAGTTGAGCAAGACAATGCTATTCCAAGTACAGAAGTTAGTGCCTCCAACATTAACCTGCTATCGATCTCCTCAGAGTCTATGTCTTCAACAAGGGAGTGATCTACAATCTCGATCACTCGTTCAGGTAGAGCTTCTTTCACATAGTCATGAAGGCTTATTCCTTCACTGAACATATCATTAGTAGGCCTTTTTCCTGTGATCATCTCCAGTAGTAGAATTCCAAAACTATAGACATCACCATTGGTAGACGCCTCATTTCCCAAACCATATTCTGCCAAAAAATTTAAAAAATATTAGAAGAATCTCGCAAATTACATGTACTAAAATACATAGAAATAGGATAAATGAATAAGATATTGATTAGCCAGTTATTATTATTTACCTGGTGGAGCGTAACCAACAGTTCCCCTGACTCCAAGAGAGCTGGATTGATTTGCAATAGAGCTACTGATGCTTTCCGAGAGAAATTTAGCCAACCCAAAGTCGCTGACATGTGCAACCAATTCTTCATCTAGTAGGACATTGCTTGGCTTGAGATCACAATGAATTATGGGTGCACCACAATTATGATGAAGATACTCCAACGCACTAGCAACATCAACTACAATATCAAGTCTTTGTCGTAGACTTAACCTAGGTGCAGTATCTGTGTCCTCAACCACATCAATTGCCACTGGATGCAACCACTCTTCTAAGCTTCCTCTAACCATGTACTCATAAACCAAAGCCTTGAAGTCATTCCCTTGATAGTCAACACTTGAGCAAGCAGTAATGACCTTGATCAAATTCCGATGTCTTATAGTCCGGAGGACTCCACATTCAGCCATAAAACTCTTCGAAGCACCATGCTGCTCTAGGTTGAAAATCTTGATTGCAATAATGGATGTTTCCACAAGGTCATGAAGGATTCCCTTGTATACAGCCCCAAATGTGCCTCTCCCAATCAAATTGTCAAAAGAAAACCCATTTGTGGCTTTTAAAAGGGTTTGATAAGACAAATTTGGATAGTTCTCTGAAAAATTACCCAAGGGTGTGGGTAATTTAGTCTTCTTTTTATACCAATAGATATAAAGTGACACAAATATTGTCACCATCGATATAATTCCAAGAAGTCCGAAAACTATTCCAAGTATGAATCTGTTTTTGTGACCTAGGCTTTTTTTCTGGTTCTTTTTGTTGCATTTAGGAAGCTTCAACTCCGGTCGACCTCCACACAATCCCCTAATTCCATCTAGTGAAAGACCTGTTGCATTACTAAAAATTCCACCAGTGGGTACTTCACCTTCGAGCTTGCTATTGTATGATAGATTCAGCATTTGCAATGGAAGGCTCTCCAAAAATTGCGGAATTTTACCTGATAAATTGTTTTTAGACAAATCCAACTCATTGAGACCTTTCAATTCGCTCAATGCATCAGGAATGGCGCCTTGAAGAAAATTTCCATCCATGTACAGATTCGTCAACTCTACACAACTACTGAGTGTGCTTGGTATTTCACCGGACAACGTGTTTCCTGTAACGCGAAGCAAACCTAGATTCTTGAGTTGCCCTACTTCTTCAGGAAGGGACCCACTTAACTTGTTGAATGATAGATAAAGACCAATGGATAAGGTAGAGATATCAAAAAGTTGTGAGGGTATTCTACCACTGAGGCGGTTGAAAGACAGATCCATGCCTAGTAGGTTTTTACAACTTCCTAGAGTTGAAGGAATTTGGCCAACAAGATTATTATGATATAGATTTAGAATAGTCATCTTTGTTAAGTTCCCGATTGAGGATGGTATTTTCCCTGAGAATTGGTTAGCATCTAACATTAATCTGTCGAGATTACGGAGCTTTCCTATGCCTTGAGGAATGATTCCAGAAAGTTGGTTACCGGAAGCAGCAAATCCTGTCAGGTATTCAAGGTTTTCAATGCAAGCTGGAATCTGTCCGTCTATATAATTATCATCAATTTCTAAAGAGGAAAGCATTGAGAAATTACAGAAGATCTTAGGGAAATTTCCTGATAAAATATTATCACCTATACCTAGTACTTGTAAATCAGTTGCATTGGCCAATGAATAAGCAAAGTTCAAATCACCAGCTTGGCCATGCCCTAGTGAGTTATTGCTAAGAAAAAGTATTGAGAGATTTGCTAATTTGTGCAGAGAAGGAACTTGTCCAGTAAGATTGTTATCATCTAACTGAAGAACTGTTAGACCTGAGGAATTGGATATAGAAGTAGGAATTGATCCGGTGAAATTATTACTGGAGATGGAGAACCACTGCAGATTTGGAAGTTTGATGCCCAAATCTGAAGGAAGGCTTCCCTCCAAGTTATTATTAAATCCTAAACCAAAAGAGACTAAGAGTGTGAGGTTGAAGATTGAAGATGGGACTATCCCTGATAACATGTTCTCACCGAGTGCGAGATATGTTAATTTATTAAGTTTGCCTAAGCTCTCTGGGATGCTTCCACTTAAGTTGTTGGACTCTAGGTCGATTAAGTAGAGGGATGAAAAGTTCCCGAAAGATGAAGGGATGGTTCCTGTCAAGTTGTTGTTATGAAGATTAATATATTGTAGATGCACAAGGTAACTAATTTTAGATGGGATCTTTCCTACCAACCTGTTATTGCGGATATCGAGGGCCAAGAGCCTTGAGCAAGCTGATATATTTGGTGGAATGTGGCCTTCAATTGTATTGTTACCGAGCTGGAGATCGCGCAGTCGATGCAAGCGGCCTATTTCAGGAGGAATTGTACCACCCAAAGTATTATTGTACAGTTGCAACACCTTCAAGAAGCTCAAATTTCCAATAGATGGAGAGAGGAAACCTGTGAGCTTGGAAGAGTATAGTTTCAGCTTCTTGACTCTCCGGCCTCGATGACATGTAATACCATGCCATTCACAGAAGTGGGTTGTATCATTCCACGAGCTCATAACCCCAAGAGGGTCACCTGTAATTTTTGCTTTGAAATCGAGCAATGCTAACCTGTCTGTTTCATTTGTCCCAGCAACGGAAAAATGAAGGCAGTACATGAAAGCAGTTGCCAAAATGATGAGGTAAAATGTAGAGAATGACATTATGCTAACTTATGGAAGTAAAGCCTTCTCTGGTATAAGAATACAGATTTACAGACTAGTTAAGAGTTGGAAAGAACACTCTTAACTATTCTTTGCTATTTGGGGGACTTTATATAAACCAGAGACTATGGCGTGACTGGTGAGAGACGACTTGACTCTAATTTCCAGCCCAAAAGGAAAAAAATAAATAAATTAGCAATTAAATGAAAATACAAGAAGACTAGAGAATTTTTAAGCTAGCTGAGTCATACACGCACTAATACATGATTACATGTCAATGTCCATTGACACATCTAGACAATTACTAGTTTTGTTTGATCTACTCATTTTATCTGACTATTCCAGAGGTCACGTAGTTCCGTGCCGTAAATCATATGCAACGGCAATTATAAGTTAGTAGATCAATTTACAATATTGATACTACCTTCATTTTATATTATTTGCAACAACTTAACACAGAATATGATTAGAAAATATTTAATTATTTTAAATAATATGAAACAGAGGTAGTTTAAAAATTAGTGTCTTTGTGACACATTGGTATAAATTTAAAGTTACGCTGATGATTGTTAGTATAAAAATTAGCACCCTTAAAACACATTGGTATTAAAATTAGCAATCAGCGACAAATTGGTATACAAGTTAACACCTTGTAACACTTGACTGGCACATAGTGTTAGCTATTAGGCAATTTAGTTAACGTAAATAAAATAGTAGGTAAGTGGGTTAGTTTGAGTATTAAAAAAAATTATTAAAGAAAGATAGTGGGGTTAATAGTTTATTGAAAAGTAATGAATGTGAGTTGGGAAAAAAATAATAAAAAAAAAATTTGTAGTGAATTTGAGTAGGGAATATGAAAGGAGAGAAATAACATATTAATGTAACTTTTTGGCTTTTTTTTTAAAAAAAAAAAAAAAAATAATTAAAACGTAACAATTGAAAAACATGATCACATTTTGTAAATATAACACTTAAATAAATAAAGACTTAAAGAGAGTATAACATTTTTCACATTAGGCCCATTGACATGCATGTACGTTTTTTTGAAGTAGGTAAATAATCTATCTTTTTTTTTTTTTTTTTTTAAAAAAAAAAAGAATAGTTATAAATTCTTTTAGTTGTTATTCTAAACAAAAGTTGGCATAAGATTGAACGTCTTGAAGTTAGTTGAAATATAGAAGCTGACAACAAATTTATTTTTGAAATTAATCAATTCATTAATTAAAAGTTATATGCCATCTACAAATGAAATTTAAATCAACAAATACATAAAATTGAATTAAATAAGGGTTTTCTTCATCAAAACTACGATCGTTGAATAGAAGTTGACAACAAATTTATATAAATTGTTTTTTTGTTTGTATTACGAAAATTAAAAGTTGGTTGTAATCTCAAAAATGTGTCATTAGAAAATTAATATCTCTGTTTTAAATTATTTGCAACTTTAGAATAATTTTTATCTCAAAATAATACTCCAATTTATAAATAATTTGAAATGGAGGTAGTATACGAATCATTGCACTTGCACCATATGATCTATTCGTGAAAGGTGAACGAAACACAACTCAACTTTTGAAGAAAAAATGTACTCCCTCCATTTTTAAATTAATCACCAAAAAAACATAAAATTGATGGGAACGAACATCGGTGAAAGAATACGAGTGTAGTAGGTAGGTGCATGTTGTGGAAGACCGTTTACTAGTCTTGGATTATAAAGTACTTTAAACGAAAATATTTCCATTTTTGGTATATTAAATTTAACACTTGAATTATTAAACTATATTTTTTCCAACAACTAGTATATATATGTTCTTCATTAGTGACCACCAATGTGGACATGTAAAAACTATTGGGATTGAAATTAAAAAATAACATTGAATCGTTAATGTTTAAAGTAAAAATTATCGTGCATGAGTTCGGTCAATCTTGGTTGATTCGTATGAATGTGTAATTTTAAAATAGGAGCATCGTGTATTTTATTTTTTACTATTTGTATAACTGGTATTTAAGGATATAAATTTTTTTTTTTAGGAAAGTATTTAAGGATATACTTGGTATAAATGTTTATATTATACATGTGCAAGAAAGTTGTGCAACAAGCAAACACACAATCATTACAAATTTAAAGTTCTACGTGATAGTTTTACACTAAGACCCTGTTTATTTCACCTTATTTTTGCTGAACTGAAATTATTTTTACTGAATTGAAATTAATTTTACTGAAGTGAAATTATTTTTACTGAACTAAAATTAATTTTAATGAACTAAAATTATTTTTACTGAATTTTTTTTTTTTAAGGTGAAGTGAACAAGGCCTAAGTAAATACATATTGACTTGCTGACTCGATGTGAGAGACGACTCCTAGATGATCAGCGACGACTTGGAAAGTTGAAACATATACCTTACCAAAAAAAATTCATAAAAGCTATGGGATCTTTTCACACTTGGTCCAAAGTCATGATTAAACTTTTACATGAGCTAGAATGTGGACTTTCAAAATATTACGATACGTACAGTTATACAAGTACATAGTATTAAAAAGAAACAAAGAAATCCGTCAAAATAAATAAATAAATAAAGGAAGTATATATAATATTTGGATATATAAAGTAAATTTTTATTTAATGTATATCTAACGTACTAGAAGTCTAGAAGTGTATACATAGTTACAGTACCTAATTTATAAATCTCAAACCACATGCGCCAAGTATCATCCCCTCCATTAATTTTTTTTTTTTTTCCAAAATAATTTAATTGATAATTTAATATATATTTACATACTTAATATTTTAATGAATATACATCATTGCTGTGATGTTTAACTTTTCCTCTCCCTATTCTTTACATTTCTTCATAAGAAAAAAAAAATATATATAACTATTAAAAATAAATTGATTCTAAGTTGATTTTATTTTATACAATTGTTATATTGCATGGGCCAAAAGCCTAGTTAATGATCAAAAAATCCCTTCAAGAAAAAAGTTAATGATCAAAAAAGATGAGCTTGTAACCATATCAAATATATTTGTAACTGTATGTTGTCATACTCCTTTGTTTTTCAAAGTTAAAATAACAGAATAGAAAATAAATTGAGTACAAGTGTTCTTGATATTTTATTGAATGCTAATATCCGAGATCAAGCGGCTGCAATTTTCAACATATATAGAAGTTTTGAACATATATAAACATATGGTTGTTCTCATTCTTCTTTCTACAATTACACAAACTTCCTCAAAGGCAGAGCAACTTGACTCAATTCGACATCGATCACTCTTTTGATCCTACATTGAGAAAATGAACAAATAAGGTCGTACTCATATAATTTCATATCAATCAGGTGAAAATCTCAAAGAAATAGTTGAATCATTACCCATTAGAATGAACCTCCTTTGTCGTAAACGAGTTCCAAGGAACTTGCTCCTTATCGATGATAGCTTTGCAACAACATCACTCATTTCCAACCGTTCTCGCGGCACTTCAGCTGAGCAAGAGAGTGCTACTCCAAATATCGAAGTCAAGGCCTCCAACATTACTCTACTACTCGTATCATTAGTCTCCTCTTCATCTATATCTTGAAAACGAGCGGGATCTAGAATTGAGTTCATCTGTTCCGGCAAAGCTTCTTTCACAAAGCGATGTAGGCTCAGCCCACCTTCGACATGTGATCAGTAGGCCTCTTACCTGTAAACATCTCAAATAAAAGGATCCCGAAACTATAGACATCGCCGCTAGTAGACACCTCATTTCCCAAACCAGACTCTGCAGTTATGACAAAAATACGAAATTGATGTGATGAATTAAAAGGTTTGGTTTATAGTACCCTCCATTCAAACAAAACCGATACTATTTTTAGAAAATGTAACAAATATTCCGAACATGAGATATTATTGTGACTATTATAGTTACCCGGAGGAGTGTAGCCGATAGTTCCTCTTACACCAATTGAGCTGGATTGATTTGCATGAGAGTTGATGTTGTCTTGTAGGAGAAACTTGGCTAGCCCAAAGTCACTAACACGCGCAACCATTTCATTGTCAAGGAGAACATTGTTTGGCTTCAGGTCACAATGAACTATGGAAGCACCACAATGATGGTGAAGATAATCCAAAGCAAATGCAACATCGATCACAATGTCAAGCCTTTGGTGAAAATTCATATTCCTTGAGTTATTACTTGTGCCTTCAATCATTTTCGATGGATGCAACCAATCATCTAAGCTACCATTCCCCATGTACTCATAAACCAAAGCCTTGAAATCTCTTCCTTGATAATCAACACTCGAACAAGCTGTTATCACCTTAACTAGATTTCGATGCCTAATGCTTCTAAGGACCTCACATTCAGCCATGAAACTCTTCAACGCACCACGATACTCTAGACTAAACACCTTGATGGCAACAGTTGGTCCATTATCATCGAGAACTCCCTTGTAAACAAGCCCAAATGTACCACTGCCAATCAAATTGTTTGAGGAGAACTCATTTGTGGCTTTTAGAAGAGTTTGGTAAGACAAATTAGGAAAATTTTCTGAAACTTCAGAAGCTAAAATTTCCTTATTTGAGTGCCTACTCTTTCTTTGCCTGAATATATATAGTGATACAAGTAAAGCCACTAACAAAATAACCCCAAAAATCCCTGAAACAATTGTTGCTTGTAATTTCTTCTTATGCTTCTTTGGCTTTCTTTTCTGAGTATCGCGGCTAAAATCATTGCAGTGAGGCAATTTTAACTCAGAAATTCCTCCACAAAGCATACTGTTTCCATCTAGTACTACAATACTCGCGTTGCTAAAGACTCCACCAATGGGTACTTCACCTTGAAGACTATTATGTGATAAATCGAGGGCCCCTAGCAATTGGAACCTCGATAAAAACTTTGGGATTTTGCCAGATAAATTGTTGTGTGACAAATCTAACCAATAGAGACCTTTTAACGTCTCCAATGTGTTAGGAATGGTGCCATAAAAATTGTTTTCGCGCATGTAGAGATACTCTAACGACACACAACTACCAAGAGAGCTTGGTATCTGACCTGATAACATGTTACGCGAAACATCAAGGGCGTCAAGATTATTCAGCCGCCCAACTTCTTCAGGGAGGGATCCGATAAGGTGGTTTCTGGATACGTTGAGTACCAAGGACAAGGCGGGGAGACTAAAAAGTTGTAACGGTATCCTGCCACTAAGATGGTTATTAGAAATATCCAATTCTGTTAGCAGACTACAATTTCCAAGAGACGATGGTATTTGTCCTACAAGTCTATTCTCGGAAAAGCCGAAAATAGATAATTTTATTAAGTTTCCGATTGAAGGTGGAATAACTCCAGACAAATTGTTATTTCGTAAAAGTAAAAAGTAGAGGTATTGAAGCTTCCCTATGCTATGGGGAATGACCCCCGAAATTGCATTTTGATCAGCAGCAAAATATTGCAATTTTGCTACGTTTTCAATACAATTTGGTATTTCTCCAATTAGGTGGTTTTGGCTTAATATTATATAGGTAAGTGTTGAGAAATTACAAATAATATTAGGAAAAACTCCCGCGAAATTATTTTGACTTATGTCTAACGCTTGTAAATCGGTAGCATTGGCCAAGGAAGATACAAATTTCAAATCATCAACTTGGTCGTACCCAAGTGAGTTAGTATAAAGGCCGAGGCGAGTAAGCTTTACTAGCTTGTGTAAACAAGGAACTTGGCCTTGAAGATTGTTCTCACCTAATTGGAGAACTTCTAGATTTGAGGAGTTGGATATCGAAGCTGGAATTTGTCCAACAAATCGATTATTTGATATTGAAAACGATCGAAGATGTGGCAACGCGTTACCAAAATCTAGAGGAAGGCTTCCTATCAAGTCGTTATGACTTAAATCTAAAATTGTCAATAGTGAAAGGTTAAAGATCAAGTGTGGAACAACTCCAAAAAACTTGTTATATTGTAAATCTACAATGGTAAGACTTTTTAGTTTGCCTAGACCAAATGGGATCCTACCGAACAAGTTGTTTTGAGCAATAAAGAGCATCGAGAGGGATGATAAGTTCCCGAGAGATGAAGGAATGTTGCCTGTTAAGTTGTTACTTGACAAGTAAAGATATTGCAAGAGGGATTTCTCCCACCAACATATTACCATCGAGGCTAATATCGATAAGTCGATAGCAACTTGATATGTTCGATGGAATTTCCCCTCCGATGGAATTATTATACAACCATCAAATTTGCAACCTTTGCAAATGACTAATTTCTCGCGGTATTGTTCCTTCAAAAGTATTGTTTGAAGGTACAACTCCCTTAAGAAGCTCAAATTACCAAGATGGGGAGAGAGGATACCTGTGAGTTGCAATGAATGCAAGTCAAGTTTCATGACTCGTTCGTGCCTACGACCACAGGTTACCCCGTACCAGTCACAAAAGTGGCGGGTGTTTTTCCATGAACTCATGACACCAAGAGGGTCATTTGTTATTTTGGATTTGATTTCAAGCAACGCTAGCCAGTCTGTGTCGTTGCCCATCCGGGCTATCGAGAGCAGCGGACAGCAAACATACCAATAGAGAAAAAGATCCAAGAAAAGAAATAGCATGAGCTCAACATGTTTAATAATTTGGAGCTAGATATAAGACCTATCAATAACGATAGAGATGTTATATATAGACAATATAGTGAAAGACATGAAATTCATAGAATAATAAGTTAGTGAATGAAGAACAAATGGCTGGATTATTACTTGTAATAGTTTTGAACATGTTGTAGGGACATGTATGTGCAAAATGTGGAGGACATTAGTAGTTTAGGACAGCCTTTATCAAGTAAATATTTGACTTAACATTTTAGGACAGCCTTCATGATCACTAGAACACTGCTTACTGATCAAAAGAGCTAAGCAGCTTTGCAAAACATCAATCACCTCGTGCACCTGCAGCCAGAAGGAACTAATTTACATCTGTAGGATCTTAATAGCACGGTGTAATCAAGGGAAAATCAAACTTAGATTTTACTTAAAAACTCATACAGCAGTAGTAGAATCTTTACCTGCAAGGATTCTTCGCCTTTGTTGGCGACGAGTTCCAACAAGCTTGTTTCTAATAGATGATAGCTTAGCAGAAACATCACTCATGGAAAATCTATCATGTGGAAGCTCCGCAGAGCAAGAAACTGCTATGCCAAGAATTAACACAATAGACTCCAACATTGCCCTGCTACTTGTCTCCTCTCCAACTACGTCTAAAAAAGAAAAAGATTATCTAAAATTTCGGTCACCCCTTCAGGAAGAGCTGCTTTCACAAAGGTATGGAGGTTCATACCCCCTTTAAACATTTCATTAGTAGGCCTCTTTCCGGTAAACAATTCCATTAACAAAATTCCAAAACTATAGACATCGCCGTGAGTAGATGCTTCATTTCCCAAACCGTATTCTGCATTAAGTCATACCTCAAATGTTATATGACCAGGAATATTGATTAAGGTGAATGTAACAAAATTAAAGCTTAATGGATTTATGATTAGAGATCAACTATGTAGAAAACGCTACGGATGTGAGTAGCTCATTACCTGGAGGAGCATGGCCAATAGTTCCCCTGAAACCGATAGAGTTGGACTGATTTGCAGAGCTATTAACGTCCCCTGAAAGAAATTTAGCCAAACCAAAGTCACCAAGATGTGCGACCATCTCATTATCAAGGAGAACATTGCTTGGTTTGAGGTCACAATGAACTATAGATGCCCCACAATTATGATGAAGATACTCTAAAGCAAATGCAACATCCACTGCAATATCAAGTCTGTGGCGGAAATTTAAGGTCCTTGGTGCATCTTGAAGCCTCCTTATTGTTCTTGCTGGATGCAACCAATCATCTAAACTCCCATTCACCATGTACGCGTAATCCAAAGCCATAAAACCGTTTCCTTGATAATCAACACTTGAACAAGCTGATATCACCTTGACAAGATTCCGATGTCTGATGTTTCGAAGGACTTCACATTCTGCCATAAAACTCTTGCAACCACCATGATGCTCGAGTTTGAATACCTTGATTGCAGCTGTTGATATATTGTCGTCAAAATTTCTCTTATACACAACCCCAAATGTACCACTGCCAATCAAATTTTCCCCAGAGAAGCCATTTGTGGCTTTAAGAAGGGTTTGGTACGACAAATTTGGAAGATGTCTTAGTTCCCCTTTTGTGCCGGAAGATGTATAGCACATATAATGCCACCAGTGTAGTAACTCCGGAAAATGTAGAAAGAAAAATCACGGTTAATTTCCTCCACGATCTTCTTTTCCAAGTATTATTGAAATTGCAGTGGGGCAGCTTTAACTGAGGTATACCTCCACAGAGCCTATTGTTTCCATGGACCGAAAAGGCTGTTAGATTGCTGAAGACTCCATCACTAGGTACTGCACCCTCAAGTACTTGCAGCTGCAAACTTATAAGAAAATTTAGAATTTTGCCTGATAATTTATTTCGTGACAACTTCAAAACACGAAGACCCTTTAATGTCACCAATGCACCTCCATCCCTAGCATGTCTAACGCAATGCAGCTACTAAGGGAGCTTGGTATCTCACCAGAGAGCATGTTTATAGAAACATTAAGCACCTCAAGATTATTCAATTGCTCTACTTCTTCCGGGAGAGACCCAACTAGGCAGTTGTTAGATAGATCAAGTAGCATAGACAAGGTAGAAAGGCTAAAAAGTTGTGAGGGAATTCTCCCACTTAGTTTATTATGGGAAAGATCTAATCCTATAGCTGCAGCTGCATCAACACAACTATATCCACATATGTTAAGTAATAAAGTAAAATCCACAAAAATCATCATGAAATAGAATACTCTAACATAAATTACAGGTTGTAGAGAAGAATTGCGTGATTTTCAAATGCAGAAGATGCAACAATAGTTGATAAAGCTTAAGCAATTTCTACAACTGATATTGTACTATGGCATTAGCAAGAGTATGCCCATATCAACACCATGCACTGATAATCATGCTGCAACATAAAATAACTATTACTTTGGCAATCTGAAGAAAAAAAAAGGTAACTTTAAAGATGCAAACTATAAAGATATGGCATAAAATAAAATCATGAATATTGTCGCACTGGTTCAATAAATTAAAATTGACATCAGATGTTTTTCTTCCATCTAAAAACAAAGAACAGCATGATTCACTTGGTGGGTTAGAGCCCTCAAGTGGCGTTTTACTACGCTCCGAGAAATTCCCCCGGAAATGACAAGAATATCAAGGGTGTCCTTGTCTTGCTGCTTGCCTTTTTTCTGGAGAAAATCAAGATCTTGTCGAGAGTCTCTCTCGGCTTTTTTCTCCTCGCGATCCACGAGGTATTTCTTTAAATAGCCTTTTCGAACCAGGTCTTCGATCTGGTCCTTCAGCTGGAGGCAGTCCTCGGTGTGATGTCCGGGAGACTCGTGGAACTCACACCATCAGTCTTTGCCCTTTTGCTGATGCCACGGTGGCAGCGGCCGAGGCTTCTTGAACCTCCCCTCGTCCCTTGTCGTGCTGTAGATTTTAGCACGAGGAAGAGTAAGGGGAGTGTATGAATCGTATCTCCCCGCATAGGGGACAAACTTTTCTTTCTCCGGCTCGGCAGTCGAGGACGAATCTGAGGCCTTGGCCTTCCCTTTCCTCAATGTTGGGCCTTCGGACAGTTGTCCTTTAGCTTTCTCAGTCCCTGGTTGGGACTGAGATTTTACCTTGTTCCATTCTTCGGCTCGGATAAATTTATCCGAGGCATCCAAAGCTTCCTCCAAGGTCTGCGGGGGATGCATGACCATGAATTTCAGGATTTTTCCAGCTTACAGACCATTCCATAGTGCAAATACGGCAAGGCCTTGATCCAGACTTATAATTCTGGATGACTCGTTGCTGAAACGAGTCAGATAATCGCGGAGGCTTTCACCTTCGATTGCTGCAGACTCATCAGCTCTGCAGTTATCTTTTCTCGGCGGTTAGCCGTGGAAAATTTTCTCTTGAATTTGTTGGAAAGGTCTTTCCAACCAGATATAGAGCCTTCTTTTACTCCTTTGGTGATCCACGATTGTGCAACACCTTTGAGGGTTGTTGGAAAATACTTGCACCAGGTCGCCTCGGACCTGGGGTTAAGATACATGTGCCCCTCGTAAGAGGCAATGTGATCCTTTGGGTCCGAGGTGCCATCGTAAGTAATGTGCCCCGGTATTTTCACCATCGACACATGCTCTTCTAATATCCAACTTTGGAGGGCGAGCTTGTAGGGACCATTACGGCCTTCCCCTTTTGCTTGGCCAAAGGGACCTCACTTCATCCTCTTAGAGAGGTGGAAGTGGTTTTCGTCTGTGGCCGAGACAATTCGGTGTATGACCCGGTCTTTTCTGGGAAGGTGAGGCGGCTATGCACGTTCACCTCCCTTGAGCCTAAGCGTTCATGAACGCTTCGACGAGCAGACTCCTTGTATGTGGAGGTAGTATTGTTGCTTCGGAAACTCATTGAGTCCCGAGTTTCAGAATGGTCGAAGAAATGAGGGTTCTTCTTCCTTTCCTTATTAGTGTACCATGTGTCCTCCTGCCACTTGTTCCCAAGCTCCTTGTAGGATGGAACTTGTCCATCCTTCTCTTGATCGATTCTCCTTTTTAGGTTTCTCGGCAGAAGAGATGAAGACTCAGGAGGTGTTGGTTGGAGTTGACCCCCTTGGGCCTTAAGGAACTCCATGCAAACCGCCACGGCCCTGTCCACTTCCTCTCTAGAGGGCCCCGATAGAGGGGTCTCTTTCGGCCGGGACCGAGAACGCAGGCTGTTGTTTGGTGAAGGACTCCTCGCATTAGACCCACTCGGCCTAGGTGAGACTGTTGGCTGTCGAGTTTGGTGCGAGGATGAGTCTCTTGAAGCCTCCCTTTCCTGAGAATTGGAGGCTCTTGAAGCCTCCCTTTCTTGAGAATTGGGAGCTCTTGAGGAAGGAGAGGATGGCTCCGGTGACGGTGAAATCGAGTGATGCTCCCTCACCGTGATCATGTCCTTTTCCTTCCTTGAGGGGGTATGACCGCCCCTCTTTCTAGCACTTTTGGTACTCTTGCCACTCTTAGTCATGCTTTTCACTAGGAGTGATGGATTTTTGGCTTGATTTTATGTATCCTCCCCACAGACGACGCCAAATTATTTTTGTATAAAAAAACAATAGGACCTTCAGCAGACCCTTTTAAGGTGGAGAAGACGGGTCTCGGTCCAAAGAACACTGGAGCCGAGGATTTCCTGCACAGCAAAGAACACGTAAACTAGCCTCGGGGGTGGTTGCCAAGGAAGGCCCCTCCGATGCTAAAGTCAGTTCAATTAAGAGAGAATGCTATGCAAGAGATTTAGTGCTTGAGGTTTTAGTTGCATGAATGTAAAATGATGTAATTGATGGCTTTTATACCTGGACTCAATTGAGGAGAATTGGGCCCCTGGAGTCAGATGGGATGACCACATTGACTGGGCTTTTGATGACCTTAGCATACTTTTGGAGAGTTGAACCTTGCTTTGGGCTTGAGTTGAATTATTTGGACTTGGCCCAATTAGATGGACTGAATTGGACCCAAACATATGATATATGGTTGCTTTTGCCTTTGAAGTTAACTTCCAACTATTTGTCATGAAGAAAAGCAGGATAATAGTTACTGGAGTAACATGATTTCACTTGTTAGCTGGAAATTGGAACTTTTGGTTGTTGTGAGCTCGAAATAGCTCGGTTTTGAGTTAATGGTACTGCGTTCTTTTGGAGTTGGAACCGATCATCTAAATTTCTAAGATTACGGACTGCTAAACAAAGGTTCGTTTTCTTAACTCTACTTCTCAGAAGATCTGTTCACTATGCTTTTTTGTTTTGTTTCTGCTTCTTGGTTTAGCTGCAAACAGCCAAACATTACGGAAATTTATGCAAGTTGATTTCATGTTTAGTTGTTCGAATGATGGCAAGCTCTAGCCTTTTTTCTTTTCAGAGTAGTGATTAAGAACATCCTATCATAGGCAGCAGAGTAATATGCATGTAATACATTGAAGGGCCTTTGAAATGATTATTGAAAGAATGACATGCATTTTTGGTTCAATAATCATCTTCAAATTGTTGGTACTTTAGGTTTTAGAGAGAAATATTAGCTTTCATGTCGTTTAGTTTAGAGTTGGAGGGCAAAGTGGCCTGGGTTTATTAGCTTTCCTCTCACATTTTTTTTTTTTTTTTGATACTTTGATTTCATATGAAATTTATGAATGGAAATATTGCTGCTTGGCTTCTATTTTCTTAATGCTAGTATGTTAACATTAGTCGTCTGTGCCTTTAAAGATGAAATTTCATTCAGATAAGCTAAGCTTGGTCACGGACTGATAAAATAAGTTTGGGTGAACTTGATCACCCTCTTGTTCCTGCACCCAGAAGAAAAGCAAATGAAGTCTAATTCTGAATTAAAAACTAGTCATTACATAAATAATCCTGTGGTTTTTTTAATCTTTTTATTATCATAGGGTAGCTGGAACATTATCTGCACGAATACTCCTTTGTTGCAATCTAGTTCCAAGAAGCTTGTTTCTGATTGATGTTAGCTTTGTGGTGACATCACTCATATCCAGCCTTTCTCGTGGGACCTCAGTTGAGCAAGACAACGCGATTTCAAGTTTGACTTGGAAAGTTTCTTCCATGGAATTTTTCTCAAACTTTTCAATAGTTAATCATATATAATCATTAATAGTAATCCAACATGACTCGGTTGGTTTGGTAAATATGCTTAATTAGCTACATACATTTTGTACGAGTATTGAAAGATATGCCAGTGAATAATGTATCTGATCACACAGTATATAGATAAGGAACTAAAATTGTTTATTGTGATACAAACAAAAAGCTTAAAGGAGAAAAACCATCAAATGATTCAAAGACTGTAATCTGAAGTAGATAGTTGCTCTACTGTTCAGATCTTAAGTCAGAACACTGTAAGGGGAAAAGAAAAAAATAAGAAACAAGAGCAAGATTCTTTTTAAGAGAAGTCACAGATACATAGAAAGCTTGGTCATGAGCTGGTAATATTAGAGAGATCTTGATCACCATCGTGTTCCTGCAACCAGAAGAAAAACTAATGAAGTCTAACTGATATTAAAAACTGTCATTACAGAAATAATTCTGCAGTTGCTCTTTTTATCATCATTATGGTAGTTAATACATTACCTGCACGAATTCTCCTTTGATCTAATCTAGTTCCAAGAAGCTTTTTTCTGATTGATGATAATTTTGCAGTGACATCACTCATATCCAACCTTTCTTGTGGGACCTCAGTTGAGCAAGACAATGCTATTCCAAGTACAGAAGTTAGTGCCTCCAACATTAACCTGCTATCGATCTCCTCAGAGTCTATGTCTTCAACAAGGGAGTGATCTACAATCTCGATCACTCGTTCAGGTAGAGCTTCTTTCACATAGTCATGAAGGCTTATTCCTTCACTGAACATATCATTAGTAGGCCTTTTTCCTGTGATCATCTCCAGTAGTAGAATTCCAAAACTATAGACATCACCATTGGTAGACGCCTCATTTCCCAAACCATATTCTGCCAAAAAATTTAAAAAATATTAGAAGAATCTCGCAAATTACATGTACTAAAATACATAGAAATAGGATAAATGAATAAGATATTGATTAGCCAGTTATTATTATTTACCTGGTGGAGCGTAACCAACAGTTCCCCTGACTCCAAGAGAGCTGGATTGATTTGCAATAGAGCTACTGATGCTTTCCGAGAGAAATTTAGCCAACCCAAAGTCGCTGACATGTGCAACCAATTCTTCATCTAGTAGGACATTGCTTGGCTTGAGATCACAATGAATTATGGGTGCACCACAATTATGATGAAGATACTCCAACGCACTAGCAACATCAACTACAATATCAAGTCTTTGTCGTAGACTTAACCTAGGTGCAGTATCTGTGTCCTCAACCACATCAATTGCCACTGGATGCAACCACTCTTCTAAGCTTCCTCTAACCATGTACTCATAAACCAAAGCCTTGAAGTCATTCCCTTGATAGTCAACACTTGAGCAAGCAGTAATGACCTTGATCAAATTCCGATGTCTTATAGTCCGGAGGACTCCACATTCAGCCATAAAACTCTTCGAAGCACCATGCTGCTCTAGGTTGAAAATCTTGATTGCAATAATGGATGTTTCCACAAGGTCATGAAGGATTCCCTTGTATACAGCCCCAAATGTGCCTCTCCCAATCAAATTGTCAAAAGAAAACCCATTTGTGGCTTTTAAAAGGGTTTGGTAAGACAAGTTTGGATAGTTCTCTGAAAAATTACCCAAGAATGTGGGTAATTTAGTCTTCTTTTTATACCGATAGATGTATAATGACACAAATATTGTCACCATCGATATAATTCCAAGAAGGCCGAAAACAATACCAAGTATTAATCTTTTATTGTGACCTTGTCTTTTTTTCTGGTTCTTTTTGTTGCATTTAGGAAGCTTCAACTCCGGTCGACCTCCACACAATCCCCTAATTCCATCTAGTGAAAGACCTGTTGCATTACTAAAAATTCCACCAGTGGGTACTTCACCTTCGAGCTTGCTATTGTATGATAGATTCAGCATTTGCAATGGAAGGCTCTCCAAAAATTGCGGAATTTTACCTGATAAATTGTTTTTAGACAAATCCAACTCATTGAGACCTTTCAATTCGCTCAATGCATCAGGAATGGCGCCTTGAAGAAAATTTCCATCCATGTACAGATTCGTCAACTCTACACAACTACTGAGTGTGCTTGGTATTTCACCGGACAACGTGTTTCCTGTAACGCGAAGCAAACCTAGATTCTTGAGTTGCCCTACTTCTTCAGGAATGGACCCACTTAACTTGTTGAATGATAGAAGAAGACCAATGGATAAGGTAGAGAGATCAAAAAGTTGTGAGGGTATTTTACCACTGAGGCGGTTGAAAGACAGATCCATGCGTAGTAGGTTTTTACAATTTCCTAGAGTTGAAGGAATTTGGCCAACAAGATTATTATTATTTAGAGTTAGAATAGTCATCTTTGTTAAGTTCCCGATAGAGAATGGTATTTTCCCTGACAATTGGTTAGCATCTAAACATAATTTGCCCAAATTATGGAGCCTTCCTATGCCTCGAGGTATGACACCAGAAAGTTGGTTACCGAAAGCAATAAATACTGTCAGGTATTCAAGGTTTTCAATGCAAGCTGGAATCTGTCCGCCTATATGATTATCAGCAATTCCTAAATAGGAAAGCATTGAGAAATTACAGAAGATCTTAGGGAAATTTCCTGAAAAAATATTACTATTTATTTCTAGTACTTGTAAATTAGTTGCATTGGCCAACGAATATGCAAAGTTCAAATCCCCAGCTTGGCCATGCCCTAGTAAGTTAAGGCCAAGAGAAAGTCTTGAGAGATTTGCTAATTTGTGCAGAGAAGGAACTTGTCCAGTCAGATTGTTAGCATCTAACTGAAGAACCATTAGACCTGAGGAATTGGATATAGAAGTAGGAATTGATCCGGTGAATTTATTAAAGAGAATGGAGAACCACTGCAGATTTGGAAGTTTGTTGCCCAAATCTGAAGGAAGGCTTCCCTCCAAGTTATTAAATCCTAAATCAAAATTCTCTAAGAGCGTGAGGTTGAAGATTGAAGATGGGACTATCCCTGATAACATGTTCCCTCCAAGTGAGAGCAATGTTAATTTATTCAATTTGCCTAATGTCACGGTCCGAGTGATTCAACACCAGATCGTGCGGCGCGCTCTCGTCTTTTGGCGACAAGGGCGCAAGCCTAAAGCAAGGAGGTTCGTGAGCACACAGCAACACGGACCTACGGTGTCTCAAGAGGGCGCACGAGAACAACGAGTGCGGAGTCGGGGCTTGTGACGGCCGATACTTCGAAGCGGGCACAAGCGGAACCGACGAAAATGAGGACGTCTCTAGGGTCTCTTGGTTTGGTGGGGGATGCTTTAAAACAAGGAAAGCACAATATCTATAAAGGCTTAAACAACACACAAGTCTTAAAGCAATAACAACGGGGTAGAGAGCTTTGATTGAATAACCATTCGCTCCCTAAAGAGCTTTATATTGCATTAGTAGAGAATTACAAGTGAACGTTGAAATGACAGTAACACAATAATTCTCCCTAGGGTCTAGAAAAATAAAAAGAAAGACTAAAGAGACATTACATAAGGAAAATATAAGGAAAATAAAGAAGAATACATAACAAAGAGGTTGGATTCTAACATCCTCCCCCACTTAAGTCGTCGACGTCCTCGTCGACTTACAAAATCTACACGAAGATCTTAGCAGCTTCAGTCTTCTGTTGTAGGGGTGGCTCTTGTCCTGGTTCTGATGTTGGCGCGGTAGCTGACGTTGCGGTTGCTGTCGTCGGGATCTGGATGGTAGGGTTTTAGACGACTAACGTGGAAGACGGGGTGAATCCTCATCCACGCAGGCGGTTCTACCTTGTATGCGTTCTTCCCAATCCGTTTAGTGATGCGGATGGGGCCTTCATATTTCCGAATGAGGCGACGATCTCTCCCTCTGAGAAACTTCAGCTGTTCTGGTAAGACCTTCACCATCACCATGTCCCCAATAGCAAAATCAACTGGCCTTCTGTTTTGATCAGCCCATTTCTTCATCCGGCGCGATGCTCGCTCTAGGTAGGCTTTTGCAATGTCGGTGTTTTGCTTCCACTCTCTTGTAAAATCTCGAGCCTGAGCACTCCTACCGCCCTCCCAGTCAGCCACTGTGTGCGGGAGGAGAGGTTGTTGACCCATGACCAACTCAAAGGGGCTTTTGTTGGAAGAAGAACTCCTTTGAGCGTTGAAGCAAAGTTGTGCGACGTCCAAGAGTCTCACCCAATCTTTCTGGTTGGCGCTCACAAAGTGACGTAAGTATTCCTCGAGAAGCCCATTGAATCTCTCTGTCTGCCCATCAGATTGAGGGTGGTGGCTTGACGACATGTTGAGGTCAGACCCCATCATTTGGAATAGCTCAGACCAGAATATGCTCGTGAATCTGGTATCCCTGTTGCTTACTATGCTCTTTGGCAATCCCCAGTACTTCACAATATGCTTAAAGAAGAGAGATGCCGTTTCTTCTGCTCCGCAAGCCTTCTGCAAGGGTACAAACGTTGCGTATTTTGAGAACCTGTCTATCACCACCATGATAGAAGAGAACTGGCCAACCTTCGGGAGGCCACTAATGAAGTCCATCGACACACTCTCCCACGGTCGAGTTGGTACAGGAAGAGGTTCAAGGAGGCCCCCGGGCTTCTGTCTGTCAACCTTGTCTTGCTGGCACACAAGGCAGGTTTTGGTGTAGCTCATCACATCTTCCTTCATTCCTGGCCAGTAGTACCCCATCGCGAGTAGACTGAGGGTTCTCTGCCAACCTGGATGTCCCGCCCACAGCGTATCATGGCATTCCTTCAACAACATTTTCCTCAATCCCCCTGCTTTGGGGATGAACAGCTTTGTACCTTTGGTCATCTTCCAACCAAAAGCGTCTAGTCTTCCCTTCTTCAATCATCCTTGTTATGGTTTTTGTCATCGGATCATCTGGGAGATAAGCACGAACTTGATCTCTAACGGATGTGGCAATGTTGTTTGCCGTCATTGGCGCTAACTTGTACATCGCAGCAAGATCGGCCCGCCTACTCAGGGCATCGGCAACTCTATTGCTGGATCCCGTTCTATAGGTGAACTCCACGTCGAACTCAGCTAAGTCCTCCTGCCACCGAGCTTGTTTTCCTGTCAGCTTGGGTTGGGTGAGAAAGTGACTCGCCGCGGTGTTGTCTGTGCGGACGGTAAACTTTGACCCCAACAAGTAGTGCCTCCATCCTCTTAGGCAGTGCACAATGGCTAGTAGCTCCTTTTCTTGTGCCGCATACCTTCTCTCCGCATTATTCAGCTTCCTACTTTCGAATGCAATAGGATGTCCTTCTTGGAGGAGCACTCCTCCTAAAGCAAAATCCGAAGCATCCGTCTCGACCACAAATGGTTTGGTGATGTCTGGAAGGGCAAGGACCGGCTCCTTCACCATTGCTTCTTTCAACTTCTGGAAAGCTTCCTTCTGGGGCCCTGACCATTCCCAACGACAATCTTTCCTCAATAGGTCGGTGAGGGGACTTGCGATCTCTGAGTATCCCTTAATGAATCTTCTATAATAGTTCGCCAGTCCTAGAAAGGATCGCAGCTCAGAGGGGTTCTTGGGATCCCGCCAATCGCGAACAGCACATATCTTCTTTGGGTCCATCCTCAATCGACCCTTCCCCACAAAGTGTCCAAGAAATCCGACTTCTTCCTGCGCAAAGGCACACTTTTCTCGTTTCACAAAAAGGTGATGTTCTCTCAGCTTCTCGAAGACCAATCTTAGGTGCTCGAGGTGCTCCTCCAAAGTCTTGCTGTAGACAACGATGTCATCGAGGTACACGACCACAAACTTGTCTAAGTACTCTCGAAATACTTGGTTCATCAGAGTACAGAACGTAGCAGGTGCATTCGTCAAGCCGAAGGGCATGACTAGCCATTCGTATGCCCCGTATCTCGTCACACAAGCAGTTTTTGGTTCATCTCCTTCGGCGATACGAACTTGGTGATAGCCAGACTTCAAGTCTAGCTTTGTAAAGTACACTGCATCCCCTAACTGATCGAACAAATCCGCCACCAAAGGGATAGGGTAGTGATTGCGCACCGTAACCTTATTTAATGCTCGGTAGTCGATACACAATCGAAGACTTCCATCTTGTTTTTTCTGAAAAAGCACAGGAACCCCATAAGGAGCCTTTGATGGGCGGATGAAGCCTGCCTCAAGCAAGTCCTCCAATTGTTTCCGGAGTTCAGCCAATTCTGGGGGGGCCATGCGATAAGGGCTTCGTGCTGGGGGTTTCGCCCCTGGAACCAGCTCAATCTCATGGTCCACTGTCCTTCTAGGTGGGAGAACTTTTGGTAGGTCTTTCGGGAGGAGATCCTGGAACTCTGATAGTAGCTCGGCAACTGCAGGCGGAAAGTCTCCACTTGCTTCATCTTCCTTCGTGGAAAGTGTTGCTAGGAACGTGGGCTCGTTCCTCTTCAACCCCTTCTCCAATTGCATTGCTGAAAGGAGGGGCCCTTTCGGCCCTTTTCCCGAATCGCAGGTTCGGAGGAGACATGGTTGCTGCCCGGGCACCAGAATAGATCTAAGATGCGGCATCGGGACTGCCTTACTAAAGTGTAAGAAGTCCATGCCGAGCACCAAGCTGAAGTCGTCCATTGGCGCAACGGTAAAGTCCACCTGTCCGCTCCAATCTCCCAGCTTCATTGTTACTTTCTTGGCAACGCCGTGGATCGGTTTGGCAACTGAATTCACCGCTTTCATACTGCCTCCTTCTGGTAGGAGCTTCAACCCAAGTCTTTTTGCCTCCTTTTCTGAAATGAAGTTGTGGGTAGCACTGGTATCCACCATGGCACGAGTTTCCTTTCCGTTTACCAACGCATTCACATACATCAATCCAGAGTTTTTGGGTTGGCCCTCAGAGCCTTCTCTTCCCATAGCGCACATCATGCGAATGGCCCCCAGTCTGGAATGTTCTCCTTCACTAGGTACTACCTCATCGGCTTCTTCACCCTCGGGGTTTTCTAAGGACATGGAGGACAGTTTCTTTTGGAGATTGTCAATTTCTCCCTTGTGTCGACATTCAAACCACTTGTGCGGTCCTCTGCAAAGGATACACGTCAATGGCCTGGCTGTCGAAGATGAACTAGGGGTGCTTCCTCTACTAGAGAAGGAAGAAGCTCCACTTTTCCGAGAGTCTTCTCCCCCACTCCTATTGTATCTATTGT